GAGTGTCACATCACCTGCAATCGGGGCTCAGTAAAATAATTCAATTTCCCCTATGGCCAGGGCCCAGGCAGAAGAGGAGGATCATATCACCTAAGTGCTAAGACCTGTGGTATGTCACAGTCCATTTTGGGGAGACAGAATGCAGGCAAAAGAGGAGAGTTACATCACCTAGGGAATGAGTTCAGAGGTATGTCACAATACCTACTGTGGGCAGGGCCCAGGCCATACGATCACATCACTGAGGTGCTGGACTCAGTGGTATCTCACAATGGCTCTGTGGCCAGGGCCCTGGCAGAAAATAAGAGTCACATGACCTAAGTGCTGGGCCCAGTAACATTTTACAACACCCTCTGTGGGTAGGGCTCAAGCATGAGAGCCATATCACTTAGGTATTTGACCCAGGTGTCTGTCACAATCCCCTCTGAAGGCTGGGCCCAGGCAGGCAAGTAAAATTATTCAGGAGCTAGGCTAAAGTATATGTCACAGCAACACTTTTGGAAGGTCCAGGGCTAAGATGCACAATTCCACACATGTCCCAGCTTCAGGTAAAAGAGTTAACACCTCCTGTGAGTTGTATGCAAGTATATGAGTCACAATCTCAATGATGGACTGAATCCATGCATGAGAGTCCCAATCCCACCTGCAGACTGTGTCCTGGTGTCAGAGTCAAAGCCTCACCGGTGTGATGAACCGTGGTCCTAGAGTCATCATCTACCTGTGGACAAAATCCACAAGGAAGAATCACAATTTCACTTTTCAACTGCGTCCAAATGTAAAATTCAGAAGTTCATCAGTGGTCTCTATTCATGTGGGAGGGTGACACTTTTTACTGTGGGCTGGAAGTGCACATAAGAATCACAATTTCAGTTGTGTTCTGGGTCCTCTTATGACACTCTCTTTACTTCCATAGGGCTTTACATTGTTTGGGTGAGAGTCACAATCCCCTCTGAGACACTAGTGCTGTATAAACTCACAATCTTACCTCTTTTCCTAAGTCCAGGTATGAGAGTCAACACCTCTCATATTGGCTGGGTCCAGGTATGAAAAGCATGACTGTGCCTCTTAGTTGGGTTTAGATATGAGTCACCCTCTTATCTGTGGCTGGATCCACACATGACATTAAAAATTCAAACTGTGGACTCATCTGAGAGTGAGATTCAAGACTTCACCAGTGGGTTCTGTCTATGTGTGTGGATCACAATTCATATTCTTGGCTGGGCATGCATTTGAGAGTCACAATCTCTACTTTGTGCTGAGTTATGTAATGACACTGTCTGTACTACCTGAGGGCCTTATACAATATGAGTGAGTCTGATAATTTTCTGTGACCTTCACACAAGTGAGAAACCCAAAACCTTGCCTCTTGCCATAAGCCTAAGAGTCAGCACATTTTCTATTGGCTGGGTTCATTGTGCAAGTGAGTTGGGTTCAGAAATTTGTCACCATCCACCTGTGGCTGAATCCACATATGACAGTACAATTTCAATGGTGGAATAGGTTCATGTGTGGATTAAGGACCTCAGCAATGTGCTCAGTCTATGTGTGAGGGTGGCAATTCAAACTGTTGGCTAGGTGTGTATAGGAGAGTTACAATCTCACCTGTGGACTGGGACCTGTAATGACACTCTGTATTCCCCAAGAGCTTTATACCATATGTGTAAGTGTCATAATCATCTGTTACCTTCTTACAAGTAAAAGACCCAGACCCCTAAGCCTAGCTACCAGACTCAACATCTCTCTTATTGGCTTGGTCCAGGTATGAGAGTCGTCACCATTCCTGTGAACTGAATCCAGAAATGAGTCACCATCCCACTTCTGACAAGAAATATGTGTGACAGTCACAATTCCAGCTGTTGATGTGTTCACATATAAGATTCAGGACCTCAACAGTGGTCTTTGTCCATGTGTTATAGTGACAATAGTAACTGTTGTCTGGGATTGCATACAAGAATAAAAATCTCATCTGTGTCCTGGACCACATTATAGTTCACAATGTTACCTCTGGGAAAGGCTAAGAAATGAGAGTAACATCACCTGAATTCTTTACCTGGAATATGTCTCAATCTCCCCTGTGGGCAAGGCCCAGGCTGGAGAATCAGATCACTTGTATGCAGGGCCTAGTGACATATTATAATATTTTCTCTAGGCACAGCTCAGGCAGGAGAGTCACAACATTTGGGTGCTGGGCTCAGAGATATGCCACAATCCCTGTTTTGGGCATGTCTCCTGCAACACAGAAGAGGCACATTATGTTGAAAATTGGTTCAAAGATTTGTCACTATGTCCCCTTTAGGTGGTGCACAGGCAAGTGAGGAGAGTCACATCACCCAGATAATGGGCCTAGCAATATATCACAATGCTCCCTGATGGACAGGCAAAGACAAGAAAGTCACATAACCTAGGTGAGAAAACCTGACATATGTCACAATGCATGCTATGAGTAGGGATCATGGAAAAGGGGAGAATCACACAACCTAGGAGTTGCACCAAGATATATGTCATAATCTCCCCAGGGCCTAGGGTTGATTAGTGGCAGGGCCTAGGCATGAGATGAGAGTCACATCATGTAAATGCTGGGCCTAGCGATATGTCACAATCTCCACTGTGTACAGGTCCCAGAATAAAGAGTCATACCATCTACATGTTGGGACCAAAGATATGTATCAATGACACTTGTGGGCAAGGACCAGGCAGGAGAGCCACAGCACCTGGGTGCTGGGCCCAGTGATATGTCACAATGTCTTCCATAGATAAAGCTCAGGTAACAGAGAAGACTTACATAAAATAGTTGATGGGCCTAGAGATATTTCACAATGCCCCACTGTGAACAGGGTCCAGGCAAGAGACTCATATCAACTTTGTGCTGGGCCACTATCTTTTGTGTGAGCAAATCATAGGAAAAAGGAGAGCATTGGCTGGACACGGTGGCTCATGCTCGTAATCCCAGCACTTTGGGAGGCTGAAGTGGGTGGATCACCTGAGATCAGGAGTTCGAAGCCAGCCTGACCAACAAGGTGAAGCCTCATCTGTACTAAAAACACAAAATACCAAGTGTGGTGGCAGGCACCTGTAGTCCCAACTGCTCAGCAAGCTGAGACAGAAGAATTGCTTGAACCCAGGAGGTGGAGGTTGCAGTGAGCCAAGATCGTGCCACTGCACTAGAGATATGTTACAATCTGTCTGTGGGCAGGGTCTGGGCAGGAGACTCAGTGACTGTGGTCCTGGGCACAACACTATGTAAAAATACTTTATTTTGGAAGAGCCAAGGCAGAAGAATATCACCTGTCTGTCAGCCCAGCGACATGTCACAATATCCCCTGCAAACTGAACCTTGAAAGAAGATTAGAGTAATGTCAGCTAGGTGCTAGTCCCAATTATTTGTCAAAATCCTTTTGAGCAGAAATTGGTAGAAGAGGATTATCAAAACACAAAGTTGATTGGTGCATAGATATGTCACAAAAAATCTTGTAGGCAGGGCCAGGCAAGAGAGTTACATCACCTGGGTATTGGACCCAGCAACAGGTCAAAATGGCCCATATGGGCAGGGCACAGGCAGGGGAGTCACATAACCTGAATGTGGTGCCAAGTGATATGTGACGATGCCCCCTGTAGGCAGCATGAAGGCAGAAGAGACTCACGTCACCTGGACGCAAGGCCAAGCAATATGTCACAGTGCTCCCTTTTGGCAATGCTAAAGCAGGACCATGCTGCTGCATCACCTAATTGCTGGTTTCAGTGAAATTTTATAATTTCAGCTGTGGGCTGGGCCCAGGGAGTAGAGTTAAATCACTCAGGTGATGGGAAGAATCTATGTCACAATCACACCTGAAGGAATGTCCAAGTACGTGATTAACAATCCCATATATGTCTAGGTTCTAGGTATAAGATTCAGTAGCTGGCCAGGCATGGTGGCTCATGTCTGTAATCCCAGCACTTTGGGAGGCCAAGATAGACAGATCACCTGAGGTCAAGGGTTTGACCTCAGGTGGCCAACATGGTGAAACCCCATCTCTACTAAAAATATAAAAATTAACCAGGTGTGGTGGCAGGTGTCTGTAATCCCAGCTCCTCTACTCAGGAGGCTGAGGCAGGAGAATTGCTTGAACCCAGGAGGTGGAGGTTGCAGTGAGCCAAGATCATGCCACTGCACTCCAGCCTGACCAAAAAGAGTGAGGCTCCATCTTAAAAAAAAAAAAAAAAAAAAAAAATTCAATAGCTCATGTATGTTGGGCCTAAGTAAAGGAGTCACAATCTAAGTGGTAGAATAATCTGTCCATAAAACCCTTCATTCCTCATGTGACCTGTATCTCCTTAGTGAAGTCACAGCCTCAGACTTGTGTTGAATCTGAGACTCACCTTCCCGCCTGTGAATGGGATCCACATATGATAGTCAATTTTCTGACTTTTGACTGCCTTTGAGTCTGAGATTCAGAAGCTCAATCATTGGCTGTTTCATGAGAGAGAATGGCAATCTTTACTGTTGACTGAGTGTGCATATGAGTGTCACTATCTCACCTGTGTGCTGGGCTCTGTTGGGACACTTTCTGCACCACTTGAGGGCTTTATGGAGTGTGCATAAAAGTCACAGTCTGCTCTGAGACCTTTCTGCTTTTGTAGACCCATGGTCATACCTGTGACCCTAAGTTCAGGTGTGAGCATAGTTGGCAGGCTTCAAATTAGAGTCCTCACTCTCTAGTCAGCAGGGTCTAGACTGGAGAGTCTTCACCTGCCTATGCACTGGATTTATTAATGAGTCATCACCTTAACTGTGGCCAAATGCTAATATATGACAGTAACAATTTCAACTTTGAAACATGTCCACCTGTAAGATTCAAGACCTCACTAGTTGACTTTTGCCATGTGTGAGGATGACAATCATAACAGTTGGCAGTTTGTGCAGTTTAGAAACAATCTCACCTGTGTGCTAAGCTCTGTGAAGACACTCTTTGTGCCACCCAAAAAGCTTATAGAACACACTAAAGATTGGTAATTCAGGCGACGACATGGCCAAACGTACCAAGAAAGTCGGGATCGTCAGTAAATACGGGACGCGCTATGGGGCCTGCCTCCGGAAAATGGTGAAGAAAATTGAAATCAGCCAGCACGCCAAGTACACTTGCTCTTTCTGTGGCAAAACCAAGATGAAAAGACGAGCTGTGGGGATCTGGCACTGTGGTTCCTGCATGAAGACAGTGGCCGGCGGTGCCTGGACATACAATACCACTTCCGCTGTCACGGTAAAGTCCGCCATCAGAAGACTGAAGGAGTTGAAAGACCAGTAGACTCTTCTACTCTTTGAGACATCACTGGCCTATAATAAATGGGTTAATTTATGTGACAAAAAAAAAAAAAAAGATTGGTAATTCATTATGACATTCGTACAAAGAGGAGGCCCAGAGTCTTGTTTCCTAAGCTACGCTACCAGAGACACTATCTCCCCTATTGGCTGATTCCAGGTATCATCATAGCACCTACAAGTTGGGCCAGGATATTTGTCACAATCTCACTTGTAGGTAGAAAATGAACAGAAGAGTCACGTCACCTGTGTGCTGTATGAGGGATGTCACAATATTTCCTGGAAGCAGGGCACAGGCAGAAGAGTCACATAACCTGGTGGCTGAGCCCAGTGATATTTCACAATGCTCCCTGTGGGAAAAGACCTGCCAGAAAAGACACATCACCTGGTTACTGGGTGCAGAGATTTGTCACAATCTTCTCTATGTGCAGGCTGCCGGCAGAAAAAGAGTCACATCACTTACGTGATAGATGCAGACATATGTCACAAGGCCGCCTATGGGCAGGGCTTATTCAGTAGCCTCTGATCCAATCCTGTAGGCGTTGGGTCCAGTGACATGTCACGATGCCAAAAATATGCATGGCTCAGCAAAAGGAAAGATTTACATCATCTAGGTGCTGGATCCAGTGATATGTCACAGTCCTCTTCTTTGGCATGGCTCAGGAAGAAGTCGAGAGTCACATCACCTAGGTGTTGGACCAAACCATATGTCACAACACACAGTAAATGCAGGGCTCATGAAAATAGGAGAGTCAAATCTCTGAGGTGCTGGAAACAGAGGTACATCACAATTTCTCCTTTGTCAGAGCCACATCACCTAGGTGGCTGATCCAGTAATATGTCACATTTCCCTTGAGAGGTGAGCCCAGGCAAGAGAGTCACATCATTTAGGTGAGAACCCACAGATGTGTCACTATTTTCTCTGTGAATAGGGCTCAGGGAGAAAAGGATAGTCACATCATTTAAATGACGGGCCCAGAGGTAGATACAATGACTCCTGGGTACAAAAACCAGGCAGAAGAATTATATCACCTGTGTGCTGGGCCCAGTGATAAGTCACTTTCCCTTGTGTGGGCATGGCTTCAGCAGGAGAGAAGAGTCACATCACCAAGGTTCTGGTTCCAGAGATATGTCACAATCTCTCCTATTGCCAAAGAAAGGGTAGGAGAGGAGGGTCAAATGAAGCAGTTGATGGACTCAGAGATATGTCACAATGCCCCCCATAGGCAGAGTACAAGCAGGTACCTCCCAATTCTTTAGATGTTGTGGCCAGGGACATGTCACAGTACTTAAAAAATGCAGAACCCAGGCAATAAAACAAAGTCACATCACCTAGGTGCTAGGTTCAGTGATATGTCACAATCCCTAATTCAAGAGGGGAGATCAAAAGAGTCACATAACCAAGGTGTTAAATGTAAGATATATCATAATACTCCTGTGGGCAGAGACCATTCAGGAGAGTCACATTATCTTGATGTTTGACCTAGCCATATGTCACAATACACAGCATATCCAGGGCTCAAGCAGGGAAGAAAAAATCACATTGTCCAGTTGCTGGGTTTGATAATATGTCACGATCACTTGTTTTTGTAGAATCCAGACAGAAGAGTCACATCTCCTAGTTGACGGATGCAGAGATAAGCCAAAAGGCTCCTTGTGGGCAGGACCCAGACAGGAGGCTCTCACGCCCTAGGAGTTTGTCTCAGACATAGGTCACACTACCAAATATAAGCAAACAAGGAGAGTCATAACACCTTGGTGCTAAGTTTAGTGATATGTTATGATCCCCACTATTGGCAGGGCCGGGACACACACACACAAAGTCACATCACCTAGGCAGTATAAAAAAAGATATGTCATGATACCCCCTGTAGGCAGGGTCCATTCAGAAGAGTCTCATCACCTAGGTTTTAGACTCAGTTATTTGTCACAATATACAATGTACACAAGACTCAGTCAAAAGAGGAAAGTCACATAAATAACCTAGGTGCTGGGTTCAGTGATACATTACAATCTCTCCTTGGGTAGAGTCCAAGCACTAGAAAGGAGTTACATTACCAAGGTACTTGGTCCAGGAATATGCCACAACACCTCCTGAGGAAAGAGCCCAGGAAGGGGAGTCACATCACCTAATCGAGGGATCCAAAGATATTTCCCAGTGCTCCTTGTAGGCAGAGCTGAGGATAATCAAAAGAGTCACATAACCCAGGGACTGGGCCCAGAGTCACAACCACTCAAGGTGGCAGGTCTCTGCTATGAAAGGAGAATCATCAGGTAGGTGCTGGGCCAAGCAATATGTCACCATCCTCACCATGGGAAGGTCTCAGAAAAATAGAAGAGTCACATTATCTGGGTGATGGGCACAGGAACATATCACAATTACCCTAGGCAGAAGGGTTACTGTCACACGCGTCCGTGTGAAGAGATCACCAAACAGGCTTTGTGTGGGCAATAAAGCTTTTTAATCACCTGGGTGCAGGCGGGCTGAATCCAAAAAAAGAGTCAGCAAAGGGAGATGGGGTGGGGCCATTTTATAGGATTTGGGTAGGTCGTGGAAAATTACAGTCAAAGGGGGTTGTTCTCTGGTTGACAGGGGTGGGAGTCACAAGGTGCTCAGTGGGGGAGCTTCTGAGCCAGGAAAAGGAATTTCACAAGGTAATGTCATCAGTTGATGACAGGAACCAGCCATTTTCACTTCTTTTGTGATTCTTGACTTGCTTCAGGTCATCTGGATGAATACTTGCAGGCTTGGGCTCAGAAGCCTGACATTCCTGTCTTCTTATATTAATAAGAAAAATAAAACAAAATAGTGTTGAAGTGTTGGGGCAGCGAAAATTTTGGGGGGTGGTATGGAGAGAGAATGGGTGACGTTTCTCAGGCTGCTTTGAGTGGGATTGGGGCAGAGTGGGAACCTAGAGTGGGAGAGATTAAGCTGAAGGAAGATTGTATGGTAAGGGGTGATATTGTGGGGTTGTTAGAGGAGGATTTGTTATATAGAATGATTGGTGATGGCCTGGATGTGGTTTTGTATGAATTGAAAAACTAAACAGAAGACACAAGATCTAAGTAAGAGAAGGAGAAAAACAAGTATTAAAGGACTAAGAATTGGGAGGACCCAGGACATCCAATTAGAAAGTGCCCAAGGGGGTTCAGCGTAATTACTTGCTTGGTTGGTGGTGAGTTTTGGGCTCTATCCTTGACAGAGACTTCCTTTTTAAGTTGGAGGTTGAGTTTGGTGAGGTGTGTTTTTAATAGCTCATTAGTCTGTTCTACCTTTCCTGAAGATTGAGGACAGTAAGGGGTATGAAGGTTCCACAGAATACTCAGAGCCTGAAAAACTGCTTGGGTGATTTGACTAATAAAGGCTGGTCCATTATTGGACTATATAGAGGCGAGAAGGCCAAACTGAGGAATTATGTCTTACAGAAGGGAAGAAATGATGGCAGTGGCCTTTTTCAGACCCTATGGGAAAGACCTCTACCCATCTAGTGAAAGTGTCTACCAAGAGGTATTTAGTCAGGAGTCTCGAACTCCTGACCTCAGGTGATCTGCCCACCTTGGCCTCCCAAAGTGCTGGGATTACAGGTGTGAGTCACTCGAAACCAGCCTGGCCAACATTGCGAAATCCCATCTCTACTAAAAATACAAAAATTAGCCAGATATGGTGGTGCGTGCCCATAATCCCAGCTACTAGGGGTTTGAGGCAGGAGGATCACTTGAACTTGGGAGGCAGAGGTTGTAGTGACCCGAGATCCTGCCACTGCACTCTAGCCTGGGCAACAGAGCAAGACGCCATCTCAAAACAACAACAACAACAACAAAAACTTTAAACAGTCACAAGGAAGATTGTCCAGGCTGTCTAGATTCCCTAGACTAGCTGGAAACTGGTGCTTGCAACATCCCATATCCCCTAGGAGCTCACTGCTGCAGTCTCAGGTACACATCTGCCCATGTGCCATTCAAATGAAACAACCGTTATCAAGGAACCAGAGTTCCTGCAATGGTGGTGCTTCAGTCTGGGGTGCAGTAGTGACCAGCTAGCAGAGCCTTGGCTGTATAAACCAAAAGTTATCCGAGACAGTCTCAATGTAGAAAGCTTATTTTTCCAAGGTTAAGGATGAGCCCGTGACACAGCCTCAGGAGGTCCTGGTGACATGTACCCAAGGTGGTCGGGGTACAGCTTGCTTTTATACATTTTAAGAGACAAATTAGCTGAGTTTTTTGGCATATGCCTGTCGTCCCAGCTACTCAGAGGCTGACACAGTAAAATTGCTTGAACCTGGGAGGTGGAGGCTGCAGTGAGTGAGGATCACACCACTGCACTCCAACCTGGGTGACAGAGTGAGAATATCTCAAAAGAAAGCAAGCAAGAAAGAAGACATAAGACATCAATCAAAATGTATAAAATGTACATTGGTTACACCTGTTAAGGGGGGTCAATTTGAGTTTAGGGCTGCCAGGTCATAAGTAAATAAAAGACAAAAGGATAAATTCTTTGGAGTCCTTGATCAGCCTTCCACTGAATACACAATTTAGTCTGGCTCAGTGAATCTGCATTTCCAAATTAACAATAGGGGCCAGGCATAGTGGCTCACGTCTGTAATCCCAGCACTTTGGGAGGCTGAGGTGGGTGGATCACTTGAGGTCAGGGGTTCAAGACCAGCCTGGCCAACATGGTGAAACCTTGTCTCCACTAAAAACACAAAAATTAGCTGGGCATGGTGGTGGGCACCTGTAATCCCAGCTACTCGGAGACTGAGACAGGAGAATCACTTGAACCTGAGAGGCGGAGGTTGCAGTGAGGTGAGATCACACCACTGCACTCCAGCCTGGATGACAGAGCGAGACTCCATCTCAAAAATATGAAATAAATTAGCAATAGGGCAGAGGAGGCAATCAGATATTCATATGTCTCAGGCAAGTCTCAGAGGGATGACTTTGAGTTCTGTCGTTTGTTCACGTAAGAAATGTCTTTGTGGGCAAATTGTGAAGAAGGTATGTAGCTTTTTAAAATCTTTGTGACTATCTTGTTTAGAAATAAAATGGAAGGCAGGTTTG